CAGGGTCTTGTTGTCTCTTGCTGCAAATTTAAACTGGCCGTTGCACCAATTTGATGTTAAAAACGCCTTTCTTCATGGTGATCTTGAGGAGGAGATTTATATAGCTGGATATTCCACCAGGGTACACTGTTACCTCAAAACCAGGGGTTGTGTGTAAATTGCAACGTTCATTATACGGTCTAAAACAATCACCCCGCGCATGGTTTGGACGATTCAGTTTGGCTATGAGGAAGTATGGTTTCTATCAGAGCAACTCTGATCATACTTTATTCTTGAAACATCAACATGGAAAGGTAACAACTTTAATAATCTATGTGGATGACATGATTATCACAGGGGACGACATAGAAGGGGTTTCTAAACACCAAAAGATATTGGCAACTGAATTTGAAATGAAGAATCTTGGGGGTCTCAAGTATTTCTTAGGGATTGAAGTAGCCAGATCAAGAAAAGGTATATTTTTGTCTCAAAGGAAATATGTGCTAGATTTATTGTCTGAAGTGGGACTGTTAGACTGCAAACCAGCCTATACTCCGATGGTTCAGAATCACAAGCTTGGAGAGTACCCAGATCAGGTGCCAACTAACAAGGAGAGGTATCAAAGATTAGTGGGTAAGCTAATTTATTTATCCCATACACATCCAGATATTGCTTATGCCGTAAGCATAGTTAGTCAATTTATGCACTCACCTAGTGAAGATCATATGGATGCGGTAGTTCGAATTCTTCGTTACTTGAAGTCCGCTCTAGGGAAAGGACTTTTGTTCTCCAAGAATAATCATCTTAATATTGATGGTTATATAGATGCAGATTGGGCGGGGAGTGTTTCTGATGGGAAGTCTACATCAGGCTACTTCACCTTTGTAGGAGGCAATCTTGTTACGTGGAGGAGTAAGAAGCAGAAGGTAGTGGCATTATCTAGTGCTGAAGCCGAGTTCAAAGGAATGGCTAAAGGACTTTGTGAACTCCTTTGGCTTAAGAGGTTGCTGACGGAGACTGGCTTTGCTCCCAATTACGAAATGAACTTATTTTGTGATAATAAGGCAGCCATCGATATTTCTCATAACCCAGTCCAGCATGACCGCACTAAACACATTGAGGTAAATCGACATTTCATCAAACAAAAGCTCGATGACAAGATAGTTCAATTCCCATTTGTCAAATCTGAAGACCAACTGGCGGATATACTCACGAAGGCCGTTTCTAGCAAGATCTTCTACAACTCACTTGACAAGTTAGGCATCAGTAATATCTATGCACCAACTTGAGGGGGAGTGTTGGCGTGAGTTGTCAATCCAGATTTAATTGGAGAAATTGTAGGGCTGATTAGTTTCTCTGTTTGTATTTTATTATTTTCCTTTCTTTAAGGGTCAACTATAATCTGAGGCCTAAGATTGTGTATAGCCTAGAGGCTTCCATAGTTTGGGTCTGTACCGCTATATACATGTTGTATTCATTCGATAAATAACAAAAATAATAAAAAAATAAAAATAAAAAAAGAAAAATCCTTCTCTGGTTGTCAACACATTCTCTGAAACTTTACTGTCCAATAGTAGTTCTACAATTTTGGCTTTATCCCCATCCCTCCCAATAACACTCTTTGCATCAACAAAAGAGTGAGTCTCCTCTCTCCTACCATCCTCAACTCGCTTCCCTATAGGCCGTTCAGTGAAGTGAAATTTTTTCCTATTTTCTGCGATTTCATCTAGTTTCTCATTAATGGCCTTAATCTCATGAGCCATCTTAAGACTAAAAGCAAGTTGATTAGAGCCTGAGAAGAAAACACGTACCGTCTTTAGCCTTTTATTAGTCTGAGTCATAACTTGGCGTCGGAGAAGTTCAGTGGAGAAGTCATCAAGCAAGTCATCAGCATCATAAAATGCATCGTTGAGCTTTCCGAGCCAATCTGCAATCTCATGGTTTGCGGCTTGCTGCTCCTCTGCATCAGCAAGTACTGCGCGGATTGTGGTCACTGTGTTTTTGAGTTTGGCAAGTTCGTCCTTCATACCACACACAAGCCCGATCTCTTGGAGAGCCAAGGAACCCAACTTTTTCAGGATTTCAGTGGCAATGCTGGAGAGAATTGCGTCTGCCATTTCTTCTGGAAGAGAGAGAATCAATAATGAATTTGTTTGTGCAATTGTTGGAATAGGCCTGCTCGAGATCTTATAAGCCAGTGAAGCAAAAGGGATTCAATTCCCTTGTCGAGAAGAAAGAATGAGAATAATAATTCAGCATTAGAACATGCATAGTAAAATTCTTAGTAAGCCTAAAAGAAGGAATAATTCTCCATTCACGCAAACTAAAATTCCTCAGTGACTCATAGAAGACAATGAAAAAAGAAGTTTATAGACTCAAGTAATGCATCTGTCAATTAATGTTCAAATATTCTTGAAATGTTTAATTTGTTTTGTCCATGATATTTTCTTCCTCATGTAAAGTAATAATATTCAAATATTCACCAACACAATAATGATCAATAAGTGTTCTTAGAGTATCTGCACCTGCCTTTTCTTAATTTGGTTCTCCAAAAATATCACTTCAGCTTGCAACGTCAATAATTTCAGGAGCCACGTCAGCAGCTTATGCTCTCCGAAAATAACCACGCCATTATGCTCTTCGAATTTTCGCTCTCCAAAAAAAAAAAAATTTAACTTTTTCATAATGACTATATTTCTAACTGCTATATTCCTGACGGTTATATTTGTAACGGCTATATTCCTGACGGTTATATTTGTAACGGCTATATTTTGTGTACTATAAATTTTATTATGTAATAGTTTTTTAATATTTTATGTAATAATTTTTATATATTAAAAATGATAAAATTGTTTCTCAACGGTAATATTTTTCAATCAAACAATATATTTTCAAAAGTTAGGATCGATATTATAACTTTGAACAATACAGCAAAAAAAATTTAAAAAATTATTTTTTACGGGAAAAAACAAAAAATAAAAAGTTTTTAAATTTATTTTTGGCCCAAATCATTTTTTTTTTGGACAAACAATGCATAAACAATATTTAAAAAAAAAAAGCGCTCAAAATAACCTATTTTTGAGTTTTTTCTAAAAAAAATTGCAGCCAAACAGTGCCTTATGGCACTGTTAAAGCAACGCCAATTTTGGCGGCAAATGAGGCAAAAAAATATACAAAATACCGCAAGCCATCCCGCAAACCCTTGCGGGCCCACCCATTTTCTGTGAGACCAGTGGAGAGCTACTGGGCCGTTTGGCTCGCGGAAAGGGCCTTCCGCGAGCCCACTGCGATGCTCTTAAACTTGAAAGAAACCAATACCTCCAATTTCTGTGCAGTCGTTTTCTTCTTGTTTGACAGAGAGAGACTGAGAGAGATTGGGGCTTTTACACCCCCAAGTTTTGTGGCTGTGGATATGGACCAATATATATATATATACCTGTCGAAGAGAAAATTATAAGGACCAATAAGATTTACAAAAATTTGTTAGGACAATTTTGTCCTACTCTTAGTTAAAACTTAAAATTATAATTTAAGTTCACAATTCCACTTACATTTTCTTTCAATATTTACCCTTTTTAATAAAAATATCACTAATGTTATTTTCTTTTAGATATATATATATATATGTATATATATAATAGCTAAAAATACACGTGATGGAAACAATTAGTTTTTTTTTTTTTTTTGAAAGCTATCTTGGTTAACTATCACACATACATTTTGAAGATGAAAACATTAGATAGTGCACTAAATTGATAATACTACGTAATTTATTTATTAATTTATTTATATATCAATAATTACAAATAAAATTAAAATAACCAATTCTTGGGGGTGCATTTTCAAATTCAATAACTGAAATGAAAATATTTGGTAATGCACTATATAAATAATAACTTATTTATTAGGTCATTTAAATATTAAGAAAAATTAGTAAATTATATATATTTTACACTAAAGAAAGTGATTTAGTTGATAAAAAATAAAGAAACAACACACTTTTACGGATATAACATTCATATAAAAAATAGTGTTATGAACAATATGAAACATGTTCTAAGGAGAGAGAGTGGAAATGACAACCCTCCGGTTGAAAATGTCACTTTGGTGGCTTTTCAGGTTGAATAACTAAATAAAAAACATTAGGTAAAAATTGAGTGGATAAACACATGACTAATTAAATAAATAATAACACATTTACCAACTCTTTAATGACTGCTTTTGTATTCTAAAAAATATGAAAAAAATCTAGAAACAAGAAAAAGCCCTTAGACTTTTATAATAAAAAAATAAAATTTAGATATATAACAAAGAAATGTTAAAGTTAAATAAAATTACTTTGAAATTACTTATCTGTCTAGAAAAAAGTTAAAAATGTGTAAATAATTCATTAATTGTACATCAATCCCCTCATTAAAAAAAAATTAATAATAATAATAATAGTAGAACTTTTCGGGCTTCTTTTAATATTTATTTTCATTACAATTGGTTGAAGTTAAATAACTTGTTAAATATTTTTAAAAAATAGCTAATTTTGGTGGCAACTAAAACTATATGCCTTTTATTATTATTATTGTAGAGGTAACTGGTAAAGTTAGTATTTTAATAAGAAAATAACATTTAAGACATTTATAAAAAAGCGCAATTTAAAAAAAACGTTGTTAATAGAATTCTAGAAAAAAATATATGTCAAAAATAGAACTTCATGGTCCACATATTTTAATAGTGATACTCACACCGAGTGAATTGCCTAATCGAAAAAAATTTAATTGATTATTTCTACCAAATACAATTAAGTAGAGGGATCCACTTTCTTATTTGTTGCATAATTGACCAATTAAAAGAGTAGATCTATCAATTTACTGCAGTTATTCGGTACAAGAATCATTTTCTTAAATTTTTTTTATGATTTATTTGTCTTTAACATCAAAAGTAGGACTACCTAGTTGAAAATATTTGTCAAAAAAAAAAAAAAAATTCCAATGCAGGCACATATGCAGAGTACTCCCACAATATTGACAAAAGTTGGAACAGCCATTTTGATTTTAACAAAAGTCACTGACCCTTGAAAGAGAGGACATCTACATAAACATCTATTGATTTAACAGAGTTTGTGACCAAGGTATTGACTCACTACACATACATATACTACTAATTTCACATTAACTCTTTCTCTTCAGTTGGACCATCCCATTCAATTTTCTTGTACACAAACCTCTTAGCAACACATAGATACACACACAAATTCACAGCACTCAACCCTGCCAGCACCCAATAAAAGCAATGAAGATGTGCCCTATTAAGATTGTCACCAAGCCACTCATTACCAAACCTTGAGCTAATGGCCTGCACAATAGATATCACAGCACTGCTCAAGAAGCTCCCCATTCCTACACTACTAATATATGCTGCAGCCCCCATGCTCCTCATCTGCTCCGGCATTTGATCGTAGAACAGCTCCTGCATTCCAACCACCGTGAACACATCAGAAAGCCCACAGAGCATGTATTGTGGGAGCAACCACCACACCCTCATTGGGACTGTCGATTTTGGGGCATCAATGAGGCCGTGGTCTGCTGCAACGCTGACCCTTTTGGCCTCTACTAAAGCTGATACCACCATTGTGAGCACGGATAGGAAAAACCCTATTCCCATCCTCTGCAGCATTGTGATGCCAGAGTGGTGCCCTGTGATGTTCCGGGCTGCTGGGACTAGGATCCGGTCATAGATTGGGACCGCGGTGAGGATTGTGAAGCCGGGGACCACTTGAAGTGAGGCTGCAGGGAAATGGAAGGATCCAATTGATCTGATCATGGTGCTGCCTTGTTTTGTGAAGTAGGTGCCGAGTTGGGCAATGACAATGGTGAACGTCAAGCAACCTAGCCAAATGGGGACTAGACGGAGGATGAGCTTCACTTCCTCCACTTGGTTGACTGAGCATAGCCTCCAGTGGTTCTTTGTTTCGCTTGATGCATCTTTGTCGTCGATGATCGTTGCCTTGTCCAGAAATCTGCATATTGGTTTCAACATTTTGGTGCTAATTAAGTTGCTCATCCTGGAATGCTCTATACAGTTGTGCCATTTTTTTTTGTATGTCTTTTATAGGTATAGAAGATAAAGAAAAAAACTAGAAATGATCTCATGCTAGGGTTTTATTTAATGCCTTGTTTGTTAATGTCATATTGACAACAATCTGGCAGACAATTGTGAAGTACATTTCAGTATTTCACAATCAAAATGGTTAAGAATTATTGACTGAAATTGAATGCTTTCTTTGATCAAGCTTAGAATGGATTGAATAAGGAAAAAAAAATGAAAATAAGACTCTAAACACAATACACGAAATATTAGGTGCTTTTTCGGTTTAAGACAGTCTTCTGTTTTCAAAAAATTAAAAATTAAAAATTATATCAAAAAAATTGAAGGCTCGTTAACCGAATGATATAATCTAAGGAATGTGAGGGATTGGAGCCCGTAATGAGCAGTTTGTCAAATTTGTAAAACTATGAATACTTTACCTAATAAAAAAAAAATAAAAAAAAAAAAAATTGAAAAAAATTGTTAAAAAATAGCCTATTTTTAGATAAATATTATTTAAAAACAATTTTTTTTCTTTCTTAATACTTGGATATTATTTTTTGAAAAATAAACCAAACATATGCTAAGAAACTAAGAGTAACTTCCACTCAAGTGAGTAAAGTCAACTTGATTGATGCCAACCAAAATTCAGAGACACCTTAGTCTTCCTTTATTTCTGGTCTTCTTAGCATCCCATAAGATTGACTTTGTGTCTGCAACAAAATTCACATCAAGGTTTGTCCTACAAATCTATAGTGGGAATTAGCCTTAGCTAGTAGTGGTCTATCAATGGCAGATACGTGTGTCAAAAAAATTCTAGTTTTGACTTTGCTGCTTGAACTGACACTTACCCAACTGCCAACCCAATTGACAATTAGGTCTTTTAATAGTGACAAGCATTTGTTACTGTTTGTTGAGATAACTTTAAAATTTAAAATTGACAAAATTAAATTCATATCAGAATTAATAATTGACAAAAATAAATGCTTATTAAGTTCAAGTGTATCCCGAACAATCTTCTTTTTGACTTTTGATTAATGCTATTTCTACACTCAACCTATTTCTTGACTGATGTGCGTAGTTGAAGAGGGATTTATTTTGTTGATGCAGTGGAATAAACTCAAATGTGGATTACATTGGGATAAAGAATTCTTCTACCATACGAAACGGTTTGAAAAATCGATTTAAAAATAATTTTCCTTTCTAAATTTTTCCTAAGGAGCAATAATAAGAAAGTTGAACTCTGAAGGGTAAAAAAGAAAGAGCCTGTGTTGTGAGCTCATTCACCACGTATTGACTGATAATTTTTTATTTCAAAAAATTAAAAATAAAAAAAATAATTTGAAAACTTGTTTAATTAATTGACAGAGTAATAAAAATTGAGTTACAAAATATGGGTCTGTTTTGTTTCATAGTTTTGTAATTCTAAGAATAATTCTTAAAAAATAGATAACAACTTTTTAACTGTTATCTGAAAATAGATTTTTTATAACTGAATTTTTAAAAAATAATACCAAATAGAACTTTTTATATAATTTTTTAAAAACAAAAAACTATTTTCATAATTACAAACCAAACTTACTTATACTTTGAGAAGAACCAATTTTTATAACTTTTTAAAACCAATTTTTATAACTTTTTAAAATATGTTTTCAAACAAGGCCTATGTTCTATGCAAAGGACAAGGATCTTAGATATCTCACGCAATTTAATAATGAAGATTATATCATCCGACCTAATTTAATAATAAAAATTATATCATCACTAATAAATCTTATTTATCGATTCAATCTCATGATTGTCGTCCCAATACAAGCGTGCTTTTGACATGGCAACTTCTACGTTATTCTATGACGTGGCAAACAATAACGGATGTATTCAATGGGAAACTATTCAAAGATATGCACACTAAAAAGTTGACTTTCTTATTATTATTATTATTTTTTAGCACATACCTGAACTGATTGGTCCGAGCCAAAGTCCACACCCTACTTTGTCCCTCAACTTCTGTCCCAACACTCCCATCATCATAACAAACACCCAGACCACCGCGCGTCTCAGACACGCGCCGCTTCCTCACAGCGGCGACCACCACCTGAGCCACCCTAGTAAACGGGCTACCAATCGGAGCTTGCCTCCGATACGTCCTCCTCCCGATCAGAAACAGCCCAAGCGCCGCGGCCACGGCCACCGCCAGCATTCCAAACCCAATGGCCCACCCAATATAATCTTGCACGTAAATCACTACCAGCACTGCCGTGGTTGCACCACACACTATACCCAAGTACCACCAGTTGAAGAATGAGCTCTTCGCCTTCTTCTCCTCCGGGAGAGCCTCGTCGAATTGGTCCGCCGCGAATGTCTGCACGCATGGCTTGTGCCCGCCTTCGCCTATGGTCAGTATGTACAGGGCTAGGAAGAAAACCGCGCGGCGGTGGTGCAATGAGATTGCTGAGACTGATAGAGTTAGCAGAACCAGTCCCTGTGAATTTAGAACTCAACGATCACCATCACTAGCAACAATATAAGAAATTTCAAATTTCAAATTGTAGTCACTCCATCTTTATTTTTTATTTTTTTGGGTAGTTAAACAACACAAGCACACACACTCACACATACATACATATCACAATGTATCGTCACTTCATCTTTATTTTTTATTTTTTTTGGTAGGTAAAGAACACAAGCACACACTCACTCAAAAAGGGGACCAATTTGGTCAAATGTCTAGTATGATCATAAAAGCTGCACCGACAAGGGTGAGGTTGCAAATTCAAGTCTTAGGTCAAGTTCATTTTCGGTTTTTGTCCTGGCGCCAGCCGAGAAATTTATTTATGGGACATAATATTTATGGGATTGACCTTGAACAATTAATAATAAAATAAAATAAAATTTCAAACTACCGTTTAAAAAAAATACAGTAATGATTTTCATCTTTGTTTTTATAAATAGTATGTATAATGAATATGGTATGTATCAAGAGCGAAATAGCTTTTCAAGGAAGAAAATGTTATAGATTAATGGAGGCATTATTAGAATTTTGAGAAACTCTCAAAAATGTAATATAACTAAATAAAAATTTCAACGGGGCAGAAGATAAAAAACTTATTAATTAGTGGGTGCATTATTAAAATTTGATAAACTTACAATGGTATTAAGTTAAATAATAATAATAATAATAATAATCATCATCATCATCATCAGTGGGCGAGCCCGCCCCACTGAGCAACACGTGGTTCCTGCGTGCAACTAACAGTTTTTTATAGACAACAATCTCGATCAAAAATAGAACTCTACCATATACAAATAATATGTTAATGTTTGCAAAAATAAATAGCAGTAAAAAAAATATGAAACATAAAATACTGTTATTAAGTTCATAAAATTATACTAATAATTTTAAAGAAGGAAAAGAAAAAAAAAAAATAGAAGAAGAAAGAAATAAGGTTATTGTAGAAACATGAAGAAATTTTATTAAGAGGAAAAGAAAACAAAAGAAGAAGACAACTTTGAGGGGAAAAAAAAAGAGTTGGGGGGGGGGGGGGGGGGGGGGGGCGGCGGCTGGGGTTTGATTCAAGAAGGTAAATGTAAAATATTTTGAATGGAATAAAAAAACTTAAAGAAGAATAAGAGTAAAAGAGAAAGGAAAAGATGAATTAGAAAAAGTTTTAGAAAGGATAAATTTTAGGGGATATTTTCCATCTAAAATTTCAAATATTACATGCATAAAAGTACAAAATTACAAAAAAAAATAATAATAATAATACGAAGGCCAGCTGCCACCCCCTAAGCCTTAGCTGGCTAGGTCCTTGTTTGCCAGCACACTGTTTAGTATGTATGCATGATCTAAACTACTGGCTAATACAGCTTTAATTAGTTTCATGGCTCAAAAGTCAAAACCAGGATTCAGATTACAAACTATATGTATGTGTGTGTGTGTGTGTGTGTGTCAGTGTCTGTGGTTCAAGTTGAATCAATCATCAAAAAATTCAGATGGTAAAGTATAATCATATTTTCTGATGAAATATGAAGGAAAGAGTAGTAGTGACTATGAACCCACCATGAAATATATAATGGAGGACACAAGTATTGTCTTGAATCTGCCAAGGTATGAATCAGCAACAAAGGCACCAAGCAATGGAAAGATTGCAGACACGCCTTGCCACACATTGACATTCTTGGCAGCCGTGGCGGTGGGCTGTCCGAGAACATTCGTGAGGTAGGAGATGAGGTTGCCGGAGACTCCGTAGTACGCGAACCGCTCTGCTACTTCCACAACTGCAATCAAAATGAGACACTCTTCGTGAAATCAACCTCCAAGAAAAAAAAAAAAAAAAGGGTTGATTTTAAAAGAAGAGATCAAAGAATTAATGGTTCATGTATGTAGCTTACAGATGATGAAAATGGCAGCTTTCCAGCCTCCCTTTAAGGGTTTTCTTTTGGCGGAATTATTTGGGATGTTTTGGTGTCCATTAACACTCATGATTGGAGCTACTGAGTTATCCATGGAGGCTTGAGGAGAAAGATATTAGAGAGGGTTAAGTGAAAGTTTGATATTGGGTAATGGGTCGCTTCTATATATAGAGAGTAATTTACACACATATATATATATATATATATATATATATATATTTTTTTTTTTTTTTTTGATATATATATACCTGCGGTTGAACAAATAATTTTACACTTCTCCCACTGGGCAAGAGTTGGTTGGCTGCCACGAAACATAGCACCATCAATATATTTACAGAAAAAATTATTTTTATTCCAAAACCAGAAATCATAAGGGTTGTTTGTGACCCATGGTTGTGATTTGCCCAGAACCCCTAAATCAGTCGAACTAGAGATAAGGGATGTGTACCCCACCACATATAAAAGTTGTGATTCATTTACAATCCCTAAATCATAATTATCGAATTTAGAGAATGTGATTCGTCCACAATTCTTATACTACGTATCTGATTTCATCATTTAAATTTGAGAAAGGGTATCGATACTCTGTATTGTAACTCAAGAATTTATTTGGTATTAAGTGATCAACGTACAAAATTTATTTCACCCCTATTTGATATATAAAAAAAGAAAAAAAGAAAAAGAAAAAGAAAGCCATGTAAAATGTCCATAGAATATTCTTTATATCGGGCCAATGAAGAATTTTGAAATTGTGATCATTTACCCCAATTCATAACAAAATTCTCATTATTATGTGTTGAAAAGATGGTCGTTAAAAATTTTAAATTTAGAAATTTCATTTTATAAGAAGCATGTGGTTTCAGTTTGTTCCTGTGACTATAAATATATCAAAAAAAAAAAAAACATGTATTTTTTTTTTTCCTTCATATATATTTTATTCCACTAATGATAGTGACAACCCACTTCATGAAAAGTTCAATGCAAGTCATCATGTGGAACTCATACGTGAGATTCTCTTCTATTGAAAAGTATAATTCATGTTAGTTTGCACATGCTGAACAAAATTGGAGTCAATGTGGCTTATTGCACGCATATGGTGACAGTAAAATGCCAAACCCTATTCTTTTAAGATCCATTGAGATATCCTTTCCCCAAAATCTCTTACTCAAACCTCTAAAAAACTTGACAACAATTTTAAAATAATAACATTTTGTTTTAAAATTAGACTTTTCAAAGCACAAATTCTAATTTAATGCAAGGGTGGATGTGGGCTAATACTAGTAATTTTTTTGGGGGTTGAGCTAAAATTGCCTATACTAAAAAAAAAAAATTTAAAAAAAAAAAAAAAATTGGGGTGGACTCAAGCCCACCATAGCCCCACATCCACCCTTGCATCTTAGAGTTTATAACTTTAAAAATAGTTCTCAAGAATTCAGAAAACAAAAAATTATTTTCAGAGAACTATCTTTTACAGACCTTTTTATAACTGAGTTTTCATAAAATAATTTTTAAAAAATTGAACCAAATAGAATTTTTGTACAATTTACAATTTTTAACAAAAAAATTGTTATGAGAATTACAAATCAAGTATGTCCTTAATATATAAGCTTTGAATAGTCTACAAATTTTGTTTCATTGAGCCAGACATGAAAATAAGAAATGCAAGGGGAAGACTAGTTATGGCTTTTAGAAAAATTGAACATTGCAATACTTCACCCCTGTACCAAAAATAAAAAACTTGACTATTCGAAATTGTTCAAATTAAACCTCCCTTCTAAAAGTTTGGTCTAAAATCTCCCTTGACTAAGAGCATCTTCAACAGTATGTTAAAATATTCTTTTGTGTAAAATATACACGGTCACGTATAATGTGTAATTTTTTATTTATTTTTATTTCCAGCAGTTTGTTAAGATACATTGTCACGACATCAATGTGTAAAATTGTTCTATATTTTACACAATCTTATCAATATATTTCCTTTCTCTTGCTTCTTTCTCATTCCATTAACGAATCAATCTTATATTCGATCAGTAGGTTTGTAAAAATTATGTGGGATCGAGGCATGATACTGGTTGGTTGTTATTGGGGATATATTTTTATACGAAAGGTATAAAACAACCGTTAGAGCTAAAAATAAATAATCTAAATTTTTTTTTGTAAATCTTTTATGACATATCAGATTTAAACAAAAAAATATACACAACGATTGGAGATGCTCTAAGCAATTGTTGCAACTTTGATACCATCACATTTTTAGAAATTAAAGTAATATGGAAATGACAAAAATGTCCCTTTGTAGAAATTTAAGAAAGAGCCAATTGCATAAACTCTGAATTTTTGCACAAAACTCCATTGATAGAAATTTAAGAAATTTTAGGTTTTCCTTAAAATGGTTTTGATTCTAGTTTTTCTTTTCCTTTTTTTTAACTTAAAAAAAATACAAATTCAAGAAAAATTTTATAATTATGCACCTTTAAAGTGATATTATAATGACAAAAAATTTCCTTGATAGAAATTTAACAAAATTTAGGTTTTTGTTAAAATGATTTTCATTTGATGTTTTATTTTCCTTTTTAATTTTCAAAAGATGTAAATTTAAGAAAATTTTAAAAATTGCACACCATTAAAGTGATGTTATAATGACAAAATTTCCCTTCAATATAAATTTAATAAAGTTAAGTTTTAATTTAAAATGATTTTCATTTTATGTACATTTCCTTTTGAATTTTCACAATATATAAATTTAATAAAATTTTAAAAATTACACACCATTAAAGTGAGGCTATAATGATAAAAATTCCGCTTAATATGAATTTAATAAAAAATTAGGTTTTTTGTAAAATGATTTTCATTTTTGGTTTTATTTTCCTTTATAATATTAAAAAAAAATGTTCCAATGTATTTTCATTTTTCTATAGATGCATCTAAGGACTAAATTATTCCAAGGTGTGGAATTTTCAAATTTTTATTTTTTCTCAAATTTCTATTTTTTGAAATTAAAAAAATTAAAACAGAAAATTAAAATCATTTTTAAAGAAGCCTAAATTTTCTAAATTTCATCAAATTTGTATTAAATGGATTTTTTGTTATAATAATATCACTTTAATGATGTGTAATTTTAAAAAAATTATTGATTTTTATTTTCATTTTTTTTGGGAATAAAAAGGAAAAGAAAACCTAAACTGAAATTAATTTTAAACAAAACTTAAATTTTCATAAATTTATATTAAGGGGCAAAAATCTGATAATCCAAGGGAATTTATGCAATTTACTCTTTCTTAAATTTCTACTAAGGGGTATTTTTGTCATTATAATATTACTTTAATTTTAAAAAATTTGATGATGTTAAAGTTGCAACAATTAGTTAGTCCAGTTAGGATTTTTTTTATAACCAATTTGAATAGTTAAGGGATTTTTTTTTTTTTTTTGCAATTTGCTCTATTTATAAATTGACCTCTTAAAGAATGCAATTTGTCACACTTTCGAAGCATTCTTGTTCATTCTTATCCCAAGTCAGGAAGAGATAAAGACAATTTTTATAATAATAATAAGAAATAAAAAAACAAAAAAGTCATAGTCACCAATAATTTAATGAACTCTTATAAGTCTAATAAGGTAGGAAGGCAAACCTCTAGTAGCCTCTCCTAATGAGGTGTGAATTTATAATTGAGGAGGAGAAAAGTGGAGAGACAAGCAATAGGCATTGCCATCACCATCCACTATTGGAGCAATTCACCTCTTATAGTAATTTTTTTCTTGACGGCAAAACCCAGCCCCCACCCACTAAAAACCCTTTTTTCCCATTTTGTAGATGTCTACTTCTCTAGGTCCAAACGTACCCTTGTCTATATATCTAGTCATGAAAAAGGGATTGACTATCTATCCATTTTTATGTGTTCAATTGTTAGTTGACTTGATTCAGTTAAATCATTTGATTAAACTGTTAAAAATTAATTAAAATTAATTAAGTACATTTGATAATATAATTTAGAAAAAATAAAATTTTAAATGAGCGTAGAAGAAAATCCACCATTTGAGAATGGTGGAAGAAAGAAAGGAGAGGGAGGAGAGGGTGACCATTCCAAGAGTCGGCTATTCTCTAAAGAGGGGAAGGACCCCTTCATGTGTTGGTGGAAGGGGTATATATAGTTAAAATCACATATGATACCTACATATGAAGGACAACTAATGAGATAGGGACGTGTGTGTTGAGTGGTGTCATTTTCGGAGAATGACACGTGTCCCATTTGTCCCTTTCCCTCCTCAAGTACTATGTAAATACTTGTTAACAAGAAGTGATTAATCGCGCGTATAAAAACAATGAGTCTGCACGTAGCGAATTCAATGTGCACTTAATGAACTAATTGACTTGTCAAGATCTCTCGCGACACCATTTCTGATCAACACTTCTCTCTTGGCACACCAAACTATAACCTCCTTTCAGATACTCAAGTAACATGTCACCGCACGTATAAAGGCAATGAATCCGCACGTAGCGATTTCAACGCGTGCGTAATGATCCAATGACTTGTCGAGATTTCCTGTAACGTTATTCCAAGTCAACACTTCTCTCTTGGCCAACCAAACTACAACCTCTTACCGACTCTAAGGTGACACTTACGTGGTGGCTGACAAGTGAAAAAGACCAAAATCTTTTACCAAATCAACACTAAAAGTTCAAACAAGCACAAAAAATAAAAAAATAAAAGTAAAAAATCTAGTTTATCATTATCACTTAAAATTTCAGAAATTAAAATGTAGTTTTTAAGTTCTTTCATACATTTTTCATTAGTGTTTTCAGACAACACCACCCTACAAAAACAATGTGTAAGTTAATTGGAACTCAATGTCATATAGTAAGTCTTTAATTCCTTTCAATTCAATTCCTTGGCTTAATATATATATATACATACATATATATTTAAGGCTTATATTGAACGGTTGAACCCTTCCTCAACTTTTTAGGTGGACTGATGAACTAGGATATTCTATGTTGGAATGGAACAGCCTTAAGCTCAATCATGGAGTCAAGGTGACACTAGTGCCATGTGGGTTCACACCAACTTTCTTTCATGCGGAAAAGGGGAAAAATGATTAGTACCTAAACCCTAGATTTCTCCAAATTTAACTGGTGGTGTGTCTAGAATCAAGAAAATAACAAAATTTAGATTATAAAATACTTAA